AGGCACCTGTAATCCCAGCTACTCAGGAGTCTGAGGCAGGAGAATCACTTGAATCCCGGAGGTGGAGGTTGCAGCGAGCCGAGATCACCCCCACTGCTTTCCAGCCTGGGTGACAGAGCAAGACTCCATCTCAAAAAAAAAAAAAAAAAAAGGTGGCAGACGATCTGAGGCTCTCCCATCCCTGGCAAGCAGACCTCTGGTCCCTGGGCAGCTGTCGTTTTAGGATACCTGGGATTTGTCTGAACCCAGTATGGTGAGACTCGCAGACCCAGAAATGACCATCAGGAAGGAAGAAGTTTATATTCACAGTCCTCTGGAAGCAGGAGGCAGGGCACACCACACAGGAGCCACACGGGGAAGCACCAGGGTCCGTTGGGGGACAGGGGAAAATATGGACAGGAATCTTCATTGTGGTTTCCTGGGGAACAAATGGACCAGGCAGGGTGAGCAGGCTCAGGATGGGACCCCGAGGTGATGAGGGCAGCGGGACCACGGCCAGGAGTGTGACAGCCCCATAAAGGAGGCAACTGGGGGTCTGAGCTCTGCATTGGCTGCAGACCGTTTACTATTTCTAGAAACTGGCCAGTCCTGGGAGGGGCTATGCGTCCATGCTCAGCAAAGCCCCAAGAGGTCAAAGCATCACAAATACGGAATAAAGGACATAATCAATGCAGCGGGTCTGTGGCAGGGCCACTGACTCATGTCTTGACCCGTCAGCTATTTCAGTGGCCACACGTGTTCCAGGAAGACTGTATTTATGACTGTCCACCTCTTATTCTATTTCCTTTTGTTTCATTTTTTTCAGAGTCTTGCTCTGTCACGCAGGCTGGAGTGCAGTGGGGCAATCATGGCTCACCACAGCCTTGAACCCCAGGGCTCAAGCGATCTTCCCACCTCAGCCTCCCAGGTAGCTGGGACTCCTGGCACACACCAACATGTCTGCCTAATTTGTTGTTGTTGTTTTTTAAGAGACGAGATCTCACTGTGTTGCCCAGGCTGGTCTCTAACCTGGTGTCCCCTGGTCATGACCCCAACATGTGAAAACTTCAGTGTCTTCTAAATCATGAAAGGAAGATTTACATCTGTTCCCATAGATTTAGCATTACCAATAGTTTATTAAAATTCTTTGGAATCAGCATTTCTTTCCTTCCTTCCTTCCTTCCTTCCTTCCTTCCTTCCTTCCTTCCTTCCTTTTCTTTCTTTTTGCCATCAACTTGATTTTGGGAATTGGCATTGCTTTACATGCTGTTTTTTTGTTTTGTTTTGGTTTTTTTTTGAGACAGGATCTTACTCTGTCACCTAGGCTGGAGTGCAGTGGCATGATCTCGGCTTACCACAACCTCTGCCTCCCAGGCTCAAGCAATTCTCCTGCCTCAGCCTCCTGAGTAGCTGGGATTACAGGTGTGCACCACCACTGCCAAGCTAATTTTTGTATTTTTAGTAGAGACAGGATTTCACCATGTTGGCCAGGCGGGTCTTGAACTCCTGACCTTAAATGATCCACCCCCCTTGGCCTCCCAAAGTGTTGGGATTACAGGTGTGAGCCACCGTGCCTGGCCAAATGCTGTTTTTAGTGACTTTTTCTTCTATGGACTATTGTGCTAGAGCAGAATTCATCTGATTTCAGTCAGGACCTCAGTCCACAAGCAACCATGTGTCAGCCGTGCCAGGATGCTGCTGGGCAAAGGATACATCTCGGGTTTTGCACCGTATTTGTACGTTTAGGTCATAATCGTCTGGGTGGAGTTGTTGGACAGAAATGGCAGGAAATGCCTGTCCTGGACCGTGTCGCCTTTGGTTCAGGATTCCTGTTTTTTTACAGACGTGTTGCTTTGTGAATTACATCGTCAACTGCTTTGTCTCCTATAATAATAGGAATTGTTAGTCATGTATTATCATGATGTCAGAATGTTTCTGGCCACTGAACAAATGTCATCCTCGCTGTGCTGGGCCGTGGAAAGAATGAACAGCGACTGAGTATGTGTGCGATGTGCTGTCACACAGCTTAGTGGCTGATGTCTTAGTCAGCGAGAATTCTTGGCTCCTCTGCCAGAAAATCTCTAACACACACCCACTTGCACGTTAACAATCACCTTCAATTTACAGCTAAATTAAAAGTTGCTCAGAGGCCGGGTGCGGTGGCTTAAGCCTGTAATCCCAGCACTTTGGGAGGCCGAGGCGGGCGGATCACCTGAAGTCGGGAGTTCGAGACCAGCCTGACCAACGTGGAGAAACTATGTCTCTACTAAAAATACAGAATTAGCCTGGTGTGGTGGTGGGGAGCCTGTAATCCCAGCCACTCGGGAGGCTGAGGCAGGAGAATCACTTGAACCTAGGAGGCAGAGGTTGCGGTGAGCCGAGATGGCGCCATTGCACTCCAGCCTGGGCAACAAGAGCGGAAATCTGTCTCAAAAAAAACCAAAAAAACAAAAAAACAAGTTGCTCAGAATGCTGAATCCTGTCCCAGGAGAGCTGCTGTGAGTACATTTTCCACTAGGGCAAGCTCTGCCCACCCCATGGTTTATAACTCCATGTTCCCAAGAAAGAGACTTCCAGCTGCTCTCTTTCTGTAACATAGACAAACCAGTGGTATGTCAGTACCTAGGAGCCAGGAGGCCACTGGACAGATTAGATTTCTTTTTTTTTTTTTTTTTTTTTTCTTTTTTCTTTTTTTCTTTTTTTTTTTTCAGATGGAGTCTCACTGGTGTTGTCCAGGCTGGAGTGCAGTGGCATGATGTCGGGCTCACTGCAACCTCTGCCTCCCGGGTTTAAGTGATTCTCCTGCCTCAGCTTCCCAGGTAGCTGGAATTACAGTCGTTCCCCACCATGCCCAGCTAATTTTGTATTTTTAGTAGAGATGGGGTTTCATCATGTTGGCCAGGCTGGTCTCAAACTCCTGACCTCAGGTGATCCACCTGCCTCGGCCTTCCAAAGTGCTGGGATTACAGGCATGAGCCACTGCACCCAGCCTGACAGATCAGATTTCTATTTTTCTTCTCTCTTCTCTTCTCTTCTCCCCTCCTTTCTCCTCCCCTCCCCTCCCCTCTTCTCTTTTTTTTGAGATGGTCTCGCTCTGTCGCCCAGCCTAGAGTGCAGTGGCGCGATCATAGCTCACTGCAGCCTTGAACTCCTGGGCTCAAGCGATCCTACTGCCTCAGCCTCCCGAGTAGCTGGGACTACAGGTGTGCACCACTGTGCCCAGCTAATTTTTTATTTTGTGTAGAAACAGGGTCTTGCTATGTTTCCCAGGCTGGTTTTGAACTCCTGGCCTCAAACGATCCTTCCACCTCTACCTTCCAAAGTGCTAGGATTACAGGCATGAGCCACCACGCCCAGCCCAGATTTCTTTTTAATGCTACTCTTTGTCCTTATCTGGGCAGAGCTTGAAGATACAATTTTATAAAATGTAAGAATAAACTAGCCAAGTAGCCCATCTCAACTACACTTGTCAAGTAGGAGGGGAAAACTGAACCTAATGAATGATAGTTGAGCTTTATTTATTTTATTTTATTTTATTTTATTTTATTTTATTTTTGAGGCAGAGTCTCACTCTGTCGCCCAGGCTGGAGTGCAGTGGCACGATCTCCACTCACTGCAACCTCTGCCTCCCGGGTTCAAGCAATTCTCTGCCTCAGCCTCCCGAGTAGCTGGGATTACAGGCATCTGCCACCACACCCTTCTAATTTTTGTGGGGTTTTTTTGTTGTTTTTTGTTTTTTTAGTAGAGACGGGGTTTCACCATCTTGGTCAGGCTGGTCTTAAACTCCTGACCTTGTGATCCACCCACCTTGACCTCCCAAAGTGCTGAGATTACAGGCGTGAGCCACCGCGCCCGGCCATAGTTGAGCTTTATTAAGAGTTGCATCTTGGGAGGCCCAAAGCAGGAGGACCACTTGAAGCCAGGAGTTCAAGACCAGCCTGGGCAACATAGTGAGACCCCCATCTCTCTACAAGAAAATATTTTAAAATTATACAGCACACCTATAATCCCAGCTCCTCAGGAGACTGAGGCAGAAGGATTGCTTGAGCCTAGGAGTTTAAGGCTGCAGTAAGCTGTGGTCGGCCACTGCACTCCAGCCTGAGCTAGAGTGAGACTGTCTCTAAAAATAATAATAATTAAAAGAGTTGCATCTTTCCATGAGCAGGTGAGCTTATCCGCGGGCACATGTATCCTATGATCTGAACCCTTAAATTAATGAACAGATGGGTGTAGACAACTCTTTGCAGCCCCTGTTGATGTTGGATTGGTTTATAATCACGGTGTGGAACAGAATCGGAGCCTCAGGTCTGCTTCGATGGTAGAATTCTATTCGAGTCCTGATGACCAGGGGCGGCTAAACACCGTGTCTTGCCATCTCTGGGTCTTAGAGTCACCCTAACATCTGATCTCAGATTAATTATCATCACGTGCGAGGTTTTGGCATGAAGCGCGCCAGGCGCACAGTTTCATGATCTTAGACTATTTACAGCAAACTGAAACAGCTCACTTGGTTTTTACACCCTGCAAAGACCAAGGGAGAGCCTAGAGGGTTTTTTTTTTTTTTTTTCCCCTGTTTTATTCTATCAAAGCAGCAAATACTGTGCAATTTCCACAGTAAATGGTCACAGTGGGGACCAATATCCTGCCCTCCAGACCCGCTGCTTCAGCCAATACAGCAAGGGAAGACGCAGCTCTGTTTTCTAGAAGGATCCCACCGAGGCATAAAAACGGCGCAGCCCAGCCTGGCACCGCGCCGGGTCCCGGAGCCCTGGGCGCGAACATGGGGAATGCTCACTCCAAAAGCGGGGACAGGCACGGCACGCTCCCCGGCCGCCCCGAGCTGTCTTTTTACGGCTCTTTCCCCAGGAAATGGAGTGAGAACGTCTTCTTGGATAACGAGCTGCTGACCTCCAAGATCCTGTCCGTGCTGCGGCCGCAGTCGGAGCGGGGCTTCCGCGCGGGCGACCTCCGCTACCCGACCCACTTTCTCAGCACCAACTCTGTCCTTGCCTCTGTCACAGCCTCGCTCAAGGAGAACCCCCGGGGCACCCTCCTGTCCGATGGCAGCCCGGCCCTGTCCAGGAATGTCGGTATGACGGTCTCTCAGAAAGGGGGTCCCCAGCCAACACCGAGCCCGGCTGGCCCTGGGACGCAACTCGGGTAAGCCGGAGTCCTCTCCCTGCCCTCGGGTGGGTGGCGTTCCCCGGGGAGCTGTTGACAGCCTCCCCAGAGGGAGACCCGGACTTAGATCTGTGTGAATCCACACGGCAGCCCCTGTGCCAAGCAGAGAAATTCCCATTAACGCTTGCTTCCTGGATCCACGCCTTTTTGCAAAAACGATGTGTCCCGGGGTATATTCGATGTGACCCGGGGTGTATTCAACCCCTGGTGGAGCCAGTTTGCCTAGTGGCGTCAGGGGATCCTTGGACTCGCTCCTTAGGCCAGGCTCCTTACTCAAGGTGATGCTCAAAGTCCTGCTGGGTGTGTGTGGAGGTGGCGTCCCATTATCTGTGCCTTACCTCGTTTTATAGGACTTCAAAGTGGTTGCCTTGATAATGCCGCAGCGGTGTCCGAGTACAAAGTGATGCTAGAAGCTGATATGTTTGTGGTGGCTATTCCATGAGTTTGTGGGAAAGGGAATAGATTATCTTTTTTCTCTGAGTAAGGACTGCCCTCCCACCTTTGACCATGAAGCCATTTCCACTTAACTCCTGGTAGACAGGATCCTAGGGGCCCCAAGTGGGCTCCAGTGGTCTGTCAAGGACGCTGCAATCCACACCCCATTAGGATGTAACTAAACATTGAAGGAAGTTACTATGGAAGAAATCCTGATGTGACATTGACAGATAATCTCCCCCGCCCCTGCTTTTTTTTTTCTATAGACAGAGTCTCACTCTGTCGCTTAGGCTGGAGTTCACTGGCACAATCTCAGCTCACTGCAATCTCCACCTCCCGGATTCAAGTGATTCGCCTGCCTCAGCCTCCCAAGTAGCTGGGATTACAGGCACCTGCCACCACGCCCGGCTAATTTTTGTATTTTTAGTAGAGACGGGGTTTTGCCATGTTGGGCAAGCTGGTCTCGAACTCCTGACCTCAGGTGATCTGCCTGACTTCGGCCTCC